TCATTTACTGTATGTTTTTGTAACTTCAAAAATACAATACATTGAGGAATAGGCATATTAGTCACCAGCACAGTTCAGTTCAAATAACTCTTGCTTTTTATTTTTTATGCATTTGTCCTATTTTAAAATTGATTAAAATACCAGTATTACTGCCTTTAAAATTAAAAAGCCAGTTGTCTGTTAAGAATAGAGCTGCTTAGACTGGAATACCAGACTGGAATACAGTACTTCTCTGTAACTGGGAAGTGCATGTAAAGCACCATGCTTTTCCCTTGTGAAGTGGCTTGCTTGGCTCTGGTGCTGTGCTGTGTTGGGTGTTTTGCTGTGCTGACAAGCAGAGCCATTTCACTGGACCTTAACTCACATTGCCTGAATGTAAGAGTATGAAAAGGTTGAGAGGAAAAAGAAACTGAAATAATCAGTTTGTGTACCGTAGGCACATTAACAGCTACAGCTAGAGTGACTTCTGTCTGATTTCAGCACTTGCCAGCTGAAGCCAGAGTTTACACGGGAAAACCTAAAAGGTGAGTCAGCCCACAAACTTTGCTTGGGTAGCATGCCCAACATGGGAGCTCAGGCATCTTGAGTAGCTGTATGTCAACTGCCTAAACATTATCAAGGTTTTCCTAAGAAACAAAATCTGTAATTTGGATTCATAAAATCATAGGATATGTCAAGTGTAAAGGGGCCCAGAAGGGTCATCAAGTCAAACTCCCTGCTCCTCACAGGAGTGCCTAAAGCTAAAGCATGGGATTAAGAGCCTCATCCAAGATGCCTTCTCCAGCAGGCTTGGTGCTGTGACTATTTCCCTGGGGAGTCTGTTCCAGTGCCCAGCTACCCTCCAGGCAAAGAACCTTTTTCTAGTGTGCAATTTGGCATTGTCTGTTGCTCCATTCCTCCCAGAATAGAGCACTTGGTTCTGTTAAACATCAGCCACATTCCACAGTGTTAATGTGCTCAAAGATAAGGAATTCCTCCAGGTGTTGCAAGGATTAGTGGTTCAGGGGATAAAGGAGACCAAAGTCATGCCTTCCCTGACAAAATGGGAAGAGCTCTTGGCTAGTTTGTGGGTCATTCCGTGGGGCAGCACTGACTGGCTAGGCAGCACATGGCATAATCGTCTGGATAATGGCAGGAGTTTGTGAGGCTCTTCAGCAGGCCTGGTGTATGAAAGTGTAAAACCCCAGATTCTTTTATTTCTGCTGCTTATAGAACAACATATTTATAAGTTATGTGAGCTGCAGTCTGGTATGAAATTAATTCAAAGCCTGTTGCAAATGCCTATTTGCGGAAGGGGCATGAACTTACTCTTTTTAAAATACATTTTTGAGTGTAATTTTGAAATGCAGATAAAGTTATAAATCTATCAGCAAACTGACTATTTTAAGGCCATCTAGTCATGTTTCCAGAGATTAGATTTTTACAAATGTGATATTTTTAGATGGATGAAAATGAGCATATACCACATGCTGGAGGTATGAAGCAGCTTTGTAAGCTGTAAGTTTAAAACCTTCTGTTTACAATATGATGTTTTTAAGTCTAGTGGTGTACAGTATTTGTCAAATGGGATATCATTATAGTGTAGCACAATTCTAAATGTCTGCAGAATTGTATAAATTTATTATTTATCATGCAACTAGAGAATTTATGCTGATAATTAAGACCTACGTAGTTAATTTCTGTAACATTTGCGCAAGGACTTTTTGTTACTATGCTGTGTTTTGTTACTAAGCATGTATAAATTTCTTTTGCGATATTGGGCTATGATGTGCAATATATAAAAGCTAATTTATTTTTAGACCACGTTTTCACCCTAACATACAATAGCATTGTGGATTTTCATTACATTTTAATTGGTTATTTTTTATTATGGCCCAGCTGACATTTCAAAATACAGCTTATATGTAACAAAATGCCTACCTCTGTCAGTATGTACATTTCTTGAAATTAGTTGTGGTGTGGTTCTTATGCAGACTGATCCTAGGAGGGCAAGCTGCACCTAGGAATGCATCAAACAGCATCGCCAGCCACTCAGAAGAGGTGATTTGCCCTCTGTATTCAGCATTGGTTCAGCTTTACCTTGAGCACTGTGTGCTCTTCTGGGCCCAAAGTTTAACAAGCCTGTGAAGGTCCTTGAATGTGTCTAGAAGAAGTCAACAGATGTGGTGAAAAGGGCATGTCCTGAGAGGAGAGCTGAGGACTTGGGGCTTGTGACCTTGGAGAGGAGCCTGGGAAGCAACCTCATTGCTCTTGAGGGCTTCCTAAGGAGGGAAAGCAGAGAGGGAGGTGCTGATCTCTTCTCCCTGGAAGGCAGTAAAAGGATGTGTGGGAATGTCTCAGAGCTGCACCAGGCTAAGTTTAGACTCGACATTAGGATGCATTATGTTACCAAGAGGGTGGTCAAAGCTTGAGCAAAACTCTTCCTAGAGTGCTAGTCTCAGTGCCCCAAGGCTGACAGTGCTTGGACAGTACTCTTAAAATATGTTTTAACTTTCGGCCAGTCCTGAACTGGTCAAGTTGGTACTAGTGAGAGTTGTAGGTCCCTTCCAGCTGAAATCTGTTCTGTTCTGTCCTTTAGCTGTGAAGCTCCTTTATTTTTGTTACATGTAGAGTTCAGTGTCTTACAGATCAGGCTGAACATACATCCTGTAAACATGCAAAATGTGCAGGGAAAAATAGTACCCAGGCATTACTTTACATTGGGACTTCATGAAAAGCCTGCTCTGAGTGTGGGGTCAGCTATTTTGGGATGTCCACTCTGGAGAGTCTAAAGCATTTGTTACAGTGTGTTCTGGATACTGTTTTCCAGGCATAGGAAGCTCTTTTGCCAGTAATGATGTCAGTGTAAAAACCAGTGCAATAGTCCAGTACCACCCGTGAAGGTGGAGCTATTCTGCTAAAAGTGCTGCCATGTTTATTTATTTTTTTTTTTATAATTCTGTTGTAACCTGTCTAAACCTTAGTCCATTTATCTATCCCCTTGCTGTAACCCAGAAAGTATCAAGTGGTTTGAACCACATTGTATTAGATTATAAAACCCTTCTCTAAGAATGAGGTTTTTATTCTCAGCAGTGGTTACAGAAAATGTAATAGATTCAAATATGACTATGGAAAACAGGGAGAAAGGACTTGTGAAATGGCAGTAGAGAGGATGACTGAGTCGCTATGTATGTTCCATTTTGGTGTAATAAGTAGAGCATTCTGAAAGCATGCAGATTTTCCATGAGAAAATTTGCCAATTCTTTATCCTGGAGGAAACAGATTATATTGATAATGACAAGACAGCTCAAGAGAAATCTTGGTTGTTCACAGTTAAGCTCACAGTGTCTGATGATGATTGTTCCTGGATTGACACATCCAGGGTGTGATCAGTGCTTGCTTTTGTTTTCTCATTATGCTGAGATTTAATTGCCTGTATTTAGAATGAAATCTCCTGAAACTGGAAACCATTTACTTTGCACCGTTCTTGAAATGTTACACCCACAAAAATGAATCTCCCTCTTTCTAGTTATAGCTTGAAAGAAGTGGTGCTTTAAGGGAGAGACCTCACCATCTGCTTGGATGGGATGAGGTACATGGATGGAATGGTTAAAACTTGAAAGCCTCCCTTCACTTGCTTTTGCTCTATACATTCTACTGAGAAATTATTAACAGGTGCTGAAGGCATGAGTGCTGCCTGCCCTGAATTCTCAATGCACAAAGAAAAGATCAAACATTGTCTTCTTTTTTTTCTTTTTTTTTTTAAATAAAAGGAAACCACTAGAGTTGGAATTTGTTGTGAGTGACGACTAACTTGACAATACTTATTGAATTTTCAGTGACAGTGAAATATAACTATTAATAACCACATCAACTGTTGTTTTGAAATCTGTTTTTCATGTCCTGCCATAGGGAGGACACTAGCAGAATCAGGAGGGATAAAGAAACTGTTTTAATCAAACGTTAAAATACTATTGAGAGAGGTATGGCTAGGGGTGCTACACTCAGAAAGAGATAAAGACACCCTTCTAAAATAAGTAAGATTATTTTCCCCTCCTTTGCTTTGTATCAGTGCTCACCCCATCCTCCACATCGTGTTTGTTAGCCTGTAGATTTTGAAAAGATAACATTTGCTTTCTCTCCATATCAAGATCTCAATCCCATTTGCGTTGACATTTTAGCTTTATGAGGGAGAATGCATTATGTAAAGTTTCCATTAGCCTGCAAAATATTAAATTAAGTGTTGAAAACATGAGTTGTTTGTGGTGAGTGAAGCAGAGCAAGCCATGGAGATGATTTGTACTTGTCAAAATTAGATAGAGCTATTGGTTTGGTTTTTTTTAGGTTAGACAGAGAATATAGCCTACCACTCACTTTCCTTCCCGTTTTTTTACCTTTGTTTAGAAAATTAAATAGATGGAACAAAGGCCAAGTTCTTAATAACACAAGTGAAAGCATAACTATAATTTGTAGTTGGAAATACTGTGAGTAGCATTTGTGGCTATACGTTCCTTTGGCAAGATGTTACATTCTCCTTGAACATATAATTATGTATCATTGCTTAATAAGGAGAGAACTTCTTTGTCAAACATTCTCTGTACTGTTAAGCTTACAAACTGCATGTTGTAGTAGAATGTTTTGGAAAGTATCAGAAGATTCAACTGCTGCATTTTTTTTTTCCTGGTGGGAGATAACACTGCCATAGCATTAACTGTAGTCTAAAATGGGTAAAAGTGCATAAAAATACAGTGGTGTATTTGTGCATAAGTAGCACAGGAATATAAATGAAATCTGTCTCAACATGCACTCATGATAACATTCTTCCAGTTTGTTTACAAAATGAAAGAATATGTCTCTGGTAGAAAATTCTGAGTTTAAAGCAGTGTCTCCCTAGCCTTTGAAGTGTTAAATCCTCCTTGGTTTCATTTTTTTTGGCACAAGAGTAGTGGATGTTTAAGAAGCCAACAACATTAGCTTGCACAGGAGCATTCCTGTCTTATTTTTGTTTCTAGGTCTGTTTCCTGTGTTGGGGGAAGGGCAGTGAGAGCACAGCTGCTCCCGAAGTTCAAGATGAAGCTGCTTCTTGAGTATGTTTTAAGCCTTGGTCACAGTTTCTTACTGGAAGTCTTTAAATGAGCTTTAGTCTGATCTTCAATTGCGCTTTTATAGGCATGAAATCTCCCTCCTTCCCCCCCTCTCTTCCCTGACCCTCCATCCCAGTCCCCAGCCACAAAACCCACTCACTAATGAAACAAAACTGATTATCTGCAACGTAAATATCAAAGAGTACCCTCAAAAACAGGGCATTTTGATGTTTCTGAGTTCAGCATCAGCTTTACAGAACAACTGATTAATATTTGTTCTGAGATTTCTTTTTCCTTCATTTTTAAAATGTCGATGCAAGCTAGCACAAAAGATTGGCTACTTTGGATACTAAAGCTGCTCCATTTGAACCTTTATTTCTCAGATAAGCTGAAACATCACAGAGAATAGGAGGTGAATTTCCTGCCTGTTTTTTTATGGTCCCCCCAGTAATTCAAATGGAAAAGTAACAACCTATTCTTCTCTTACATTGCCTTATACATATTTTAAACAAAGTCTTCTATCTGAATTTTGACATATATTCCTTGAGCAGAAACATTCGTAGCTTTTCGTAGTTCTACAAACATTAAAGCACCTCTTTCTTCCATTTGTCCAAGTTAACATTTTTATTGTGTTATGTTGCAATCATATGTATATAGAAGGAATAAACTAAGCCTGCAGTGGGAAGAATGTCATTGTTGCAGTTATTTTCTTTTCATGCAGTGGTAGGGCTTTCTTTTGAGGTGCCTTTGCTTATATGGACTGCTTAGGTGAGAAAGAAAATCACTAATTATTGATTGTATTTGAGTTCCCTGCTTGAGAGCAGATTGATCGTTGTATAGGAAGGGTGCATTTTATTTAAAATGCAGAATAACATGGAAAAAAATATGTTGCCTCCCAAATGCACACAGTCTGGGACAGCAAGTATTTAGATGGAAGTCCAGTTTTCAGCGTGGCTGTTTCAAAGTCATCAGATAGTTTAATCCAAACAGAGCTGAGAAAGAAATTAATATTGGACTCTCACTGTTGATTTTTCCAAAGTGTTGGCAGATCAGGAGGACAGAAGAAACTTGGCTGAACACCAGCATAGGAGACCAGATAGCTGAGGTAGTTATAAATCCAGATTATGATCCAGGTAAAATGATGAAGTAACTGATGTAGGGCTTGGTAAATAAAGGACAGAGGATAATCACAGGATATTGCTAATGTTTGTCAGCACAAGTTTGTTAAAAATAGGCCCTGTAACACTAGTACGCTTGTAGTAATGGTTTTTTTGAGCTGCTTGTATACATTGGGCTGTTGACAAGGAAGAAGTGTAAAAATACATATTGTCCATAAGTTTACTCCCTTGGTGCTCTTTGGCATTTTCATGAAGAGTCAAAAATGATGCACAGTGAGAACGACACATTGTAGGTGAATTAGACCTAAGGGAAGATTTTGGTGCTCCTTGAGTATCTGTGTGTACCAGTGGGTTGCCAGTCGTCCACACTTGAACATTTTTATTGGCCCGCGTAAAAGTAATCATTTAAGAAGTTTATAGAATACTCAAAGATGGAGAAAATAATAATGAATAGAGCAAATGGGTGAGTGATTGTGCTTGTCAGACTGGGCAAAACAAGATCTTTGCTTTAGCATAGTGAATGTACATAAAGGAGCAAGGACATAGAGCTTGTTTTAGTGCAATAGACTCCATGCTGTGTAAAACATCTGTGGCTGAAGGGCTGACAGGAGCTCTGGGTGTGTAAGCTAAAATACACGGGAATAGGATGGGAGATGGTACCCTGGCTCTGGGAGGTCTAAGGCTCAGTTGTTTTCTCTAGTTCTAGTGACTACAAATAAAGGAGAGAATAGATGAAAGTTGAAAGAAGAGTTGCAAGATTAAAGAGTAGAAAGAAGACTTAAGTAAAAAGGTTCTTTGAGTTTAAGGTATTGAGCTTAACAAAAAGCTAAAATGTATTATCTTCAAGCCTTCTTAATGTGTTAATCTCTGAACTTCTGTGTTTATTTCTTACTGGGAGAGTAATGGACCCCCTCCATTCTGATTCCAGTTCTGTCATGTCTTGACAGTTTTGAAAGCTTCACTAATTTTATATATAATAAGGGCTTAAGAGTATTCAGTGAAGTAGTTAAATATAATTACCTGATTTTATAGATGGAAAAACTGGAATAAAGTCACGTTTTAGTTCTGCCTCTAGATTTTTTATAGTGTACATTTAAAGAAATCTTAAGGCAGGGCTATTTTGTAATTGTATTGTCCATTGCAGTGGGGCTGTGAACGTTCCAAATTCAGGATAATGAAATCTTTTAAAAGAATTTATATATCTTACCTGAACTCTGATCTTGGGGGAATTAGGTTAGTACCTGCAATCCTAAAACTGAAATTCAGTGGAAACTAAGATGGAAAGTTAGGGGATTTGGTAATTATCTTATAACTGCAAAAAGGGAACAGTAGCATAATGAAAAAATGTATTAAATACTTTATTTAATAATCTAATGAAACACAAGCATATTCATTTATGGGCTACTCAGAAAAATCAAATAGGTGAGACTGGTATGAACTGTAGCATATTCTGGAGAAAGACTGAAATCAAGAAATGTGTGATAGAGTGAAACATACTGGAGGTAGACTTTAGGAAGAGCAAGTAGTCTTGCTCTTCACTTTTAAAAATGCCTTACTTGTGGAATCAGTATAATACCCTATGTATGTATATAGAAATACATATGTTCAGTATAATACCCTATGTATGTATATAGAAATACATATGTATATATATATATAAATGTTATTTCTGTGGAAATTAAATTTTTTTTTGTATTGAGTGCCATATGCTGATGCTGGAGAAAAGTTTTGGTGCCATTTCTTACCATTAAAATATATATTAAAGAAGTAATACAACCTCTAAATTATTACTGTATATTTTGCATAAATGTTCATCATGCACTGTGTTTTCCTATATTAGTAGCAGGAGGCAAATAGTGAGCTAAATAATGAATACACTATGCAATATAGTGTTTTCAAGCAAAGTACTTATAGTTACACAAAGCAGGAAAAACATAAAAGCAATACAAAAACATGGAGGAGATTAAAAAAACCCAATGAAACAGGGCATGGAAATAGGATCAGAAAGTTCACATATAAGCAGTTTTCATATTAATATATAAATAAATATACATATGCATCTAAACAGAGTTTGACTAATACTTCTCAATTTGAATTTTCTCAAGGATAGCTGCATGCTTGCTGTCCTATATCAAATGAATTATTTTTCAGGTATAAACTTGTCAGCAGATGTTCCAAGGTTCTAGTCTGCTTCCACCCTCATGATATGATGGGGTGTGGTGCTTTAAAACTTGGCCGCTCTATAGCTGGGAAGAGTGATTCAACTTTAATTAGGTCAGTCTTTTAATGTCAAAACCCTCAAGCCTTCCACTGTCCCAACAGATGCATGACAAAATATTGAACCCACAAATCTCAGTGCTGTGTGTGTATACATGAACTCTTGGAACTTCAGTGCTGAGGGCTGTGAAACCAAAATTGTTTATGCTACCAGCAAACAAATAACACCAGGTCCTGCCTTCAGCCTGTTCTCAACTCTTAATAACCAAGCAGAAAAGTTCCAAGTGGATTATAAAAGGTGGTAGTCTGGCAAATTATAAGAATATTGAGATGGTGTGTTTATAGAAAGTGTTCGGCAGATGCTGGGAGTCAGTGCTGAAGGGCTCAGCCGCATAGCCAGACGCAGAAATTGTGATTAAACCTGAACTGACTCAGCTACCATGTCAAAATCGTGTCATTGCTCAGAGTCCTTTTAGCTTGTTCCAGGTGAAACAAGGCTCCACTTTTCTTCTCTAGCTGTTGTTACTTTAGAGAGCAAACCCAAACTATGAACTGCACATTCATGTTGTTGTCTGATGTGATCAACAGGGAAGATCTTCCTCACATGTGTACTCATGTGTACATGGTGGATGATCGTGTGTGTGTGCTTTTAGGACTACATGGCTGAATTTTTCTCTAAATATTGTGTATATTGTACATTCGTCACCACAGTCAGTGTTCATTAGTGTTAGTTAATAGAGGTGGAGCATGTAAATACATCTGTACTTGCACAAGTCTGTTCTAAAATGCCATATTCTTTTGTATAGTACTTCTGACATAATATGATTTCTTTTTTTCCACTCAGAAGTACTTTTTTTTTTTTACACCTGAACAATATAAGAAAAAACTATAAGAAAAAACCCACTAATTTTTAAATTGAATGTTACCAGAAAGGTTCCTTAAAGTCTGTATCAATATTTGAAGGGGAGGGAAAGAAAAAATAAAAATAAAAAAAAAATCAGCTTTTTCTTCATCGTCTTTTTGTGTTCTCAGACCACAGCAGAGTTTTTTGTGTTAGTAATACATTTGGTGCTGTGTTTATTTTGAAACAAAATTTCTCACATGCAGGTATATTTTAATGTTGGCAGCTGTGCTTCTCTCCCACCTTAGTTCAGCACTAACCTGTCTCTTTCAGTCTGCATTCTTCTGGGAAAAATGTGTGCCTGGGTGAAGGGAGGGTGATGTTCTCAACTGTCCTGTGATTTATAGCAGAATGTGAAGAAAATGGCAAGGTCCAATGATACTGCATCATATGTAATTATTGTTGTCCTTCCTCTTGGCATACTTTTCCTTTCATTTTTCGTCTTGATGTTTTCTGGTTCACAATTCAAGTGTTAGTCTAATTCTGCCTCTGTAATCTGGCTGTTCTCACAGATAAAATGAATCCCATCTTTAACCATGCTGTTTTCTTGAAGACTCTATCCTAAATTTAAATGTGATTGAATTAAATTATTTTTACAAGAGTATGTAGTGACAGAACAAGGGGGAACAGGTTCAAATAAGAAGAGAGTAGGTTTAAATTAGATACTAGGTTAAAATTCCTTGCTGTGAGGGTGATGAGAGGCATGGGAACAAGTAGCCCAGGGACGTGGTGGATTTCCCATCCCTGGAGGTGTTCAAGGCCAGGCT